AGCGATCACAGTATGGTTGAATTTAAAATACAGATGGAGCGTGAGAAGGTTAAATCCAGTACCTATGTCCTGTGCTTAAACAAAGGAGACTATGAAGGAATGAGGGAGGAGTTAGCTAAGGTAGAATGGGAGCAAAAACTTTATGGTGGGTCAATTGAGGAACAGTGGAGGACTTTCAAAACGATTTTTCACAGTGCTCAGCAGAAGTATATTCCAGTGATAAGGAAGAACTGTAGGAAAAGAGAGAGCCAGCCATGGATGTCTAAGGAAATAAAGGAAAGTATCAGATTGAAAAAAAACACATACAAAAAAGCAAAGAGTAGTGGGAAACTAGTAGACTGGGAAATCTTTAAAGGCCAACAGAAAGCCACAAAAAAAGTTATAAAGAAAAGTAAGATAGATTATGAGAGTAAACTAGCTCAGAATATAAAAACAGGCAGCAAAAGTTTCTATAAATATGTAAATCGTAAAGGAGTGGCAAAGGTAAACATTGGTCCTTTAGAGGATGAGACGGCCAATTTAATAACTGGGAATGAGGAAATAGCCGAGGCATTAAACAGTTATTTTGTGTCGGTCTTCATAGTGGAAGACACATTTAACATGCCAAAAACTGATGGCAAGAAGGTTATAGCAGGTGAGGACCTAGAAACTATCATTATCACTAAGGAGGCAGTGCTGGGCAACCTAATGGGGCTAAAGGTAGACAAGTCTCCTGGCCCTGATGAAATGCATCCCAGGGTACTAAAAGAGGTGATGGGGGAAATAGCAAATGCACTAGTAATTATTTACCAAAATTCACTGGACTCTGGGATGGTTCCCGCAAACTGGAAAACAGCCAATGTGACACCACTGTTTAAAAAAGGAAGTACACAAAAAGCAGGTAATTATAAGCCAGTTAGTTTAACTTCGGTAGTGGGGAAAATGCTTGAATCTATCATTAAGGAAGAAATAGCAAGACATCTGGATATAAATTGTCCCATTGGGAACACCCAGCATGGGTTCGTGAAGGGTAGGTCATGTTTAACTAATTTGGTGGAATTCTTTGAAGACATTACTTGCATGGTGGACAATGGGGAACCTGTGGATGTGGTGTATCTGGATTTCCAGAAGGCATTTGACAAGGTGCCACACCAAAGGCTGCTACATAAGATAAAGTTGCACGGTATTACAGGTAATGGCTGCTGTGAGGCTGTACCTTCGGCAGGCTTTAGTAAGTAATTTAGGATCAGTGCAATTCTCAAAGATTTCACATCACAAAATTTTTTAAGCTTTCTCAAAATGCTCTGTCTCTCTCCTTCAAGTTGATTTTTTAATTGCAAGGTTTATGGCATGTTATTCCATTCCATGGTGTGTCTTCTACGATCCTGGCTCCATTCAGATTTGCTTTTGTAAAGTTTGCAGTCTGAGTAATATTGAACTCTGATTCAAGTAGTATGTCTCACTCAATTTGCATGGACATACTAGGACAGAATTTGCATGGTATTTCTCCAAGCCTTCCTTTAGTAGGTGATTGGTGGACACCTTGCGGAAATGACATAAGCTGGTGGTTTTCTAGTGACTGCGTCAAATGAAACTTTCACATTGTGACAGCTGTATAATCCCTGTCACTGTCCTAGTATTGTTTAAGTCCTGCAAATACAAGAATGGAACCACACTGCTCCTTTTTAAATAAGATAAAATGTACTGGAAACTGTCCATCTGAGACATGACCCAAAATAAATCAAATCTTATACAAATCTTTACAAAGGTGAATATTATTCTACTACAAAAATTACATGGGTTATCTTTAATGGCACAAAGTATATACTAAGTGGATACACAGTCAAGGAGCATTTCATTAGTTTGGAAGGATCTTGATTATTTCAGGATCTGAATGAATCATATTATTTGTATCAAATTTTACAGCACAGGATTAGCTTGTTTACTCAAACAGGCCTGTGCAAATGTTTACACCCCACATAAGTCTTCTCTCATCTCACTTCAACTACTCTTATCAATATATACTTTTCTTCTCCTCCATATACCTAATTAGCGTTCACTGAAGCCCCAACTACACCTTGTGATTGTTAGTTTCATATTCTAAGGGCTTTTTTTGTACGATATATTTTGTTAGTGACTCATATGTTTATGGTCTCTAGTTCTGAGTTTGAACTTTTGTCTTCGGTTCAGGAGCTGAGAGTGGGGTCATTTCTGTATGTCCCAGTGTCAACTTCTAAAAAGCAGCTTGTTTTCATATCTAGGAGTCAGGTGCAACTGAAGTCAGAGATGATACCTCCTTAGGCAGCAACAGAGGTGGGATGATGACACAGCCACCAGGCTGGAAAGTCCCTCTCCCTATGCTGGGGCACTCTATCCTTGTATTCATGGTTGTTAGGCCCTCTAACCCTCACTACCCTGTCACCCCACCCCCCCCATATGCCCTTTCCATACCCACTCCTTCAGTATGCTGCTAGATACAGAAAGAATGCACCATATAAAACCAGCAAGCCTTTGAAATGTTCATAATTTGTTTAAAGTCAGCCATTCAAAAATTCCCTTGAAAAACATTGCCTCTTTTGCATTCTCATAAATCTACCAAATACTGGCAGTGAAACTGCCAATGAAAAATCCGTTAATCATCTTCACAATTTTCAATTTTGAGCAAGTAAACAAAGAGGCACTGAAAAAACACTTCAAGGTGTGATAAACATATTGCAAACTAATATGATGTGGAAGTGCTGGTGTTGGACTGGTGTGGACAAGGTCAGAAGTCATGCAACATGAAAGCTTGTGATTTCAAATAAACCTGTTGGATTATAACCTGGTATTGAGTGACTTCTGACCTTGAAAATTAATATGACTCTCAGTCAAACAAAGCCCTTCAAGTTCCATAAGTAATGTATCACAGGGTTATTTGCCCTAATCAGGCTTGTAGTTCAGTCAAGCATTCATAATGAGGTCACCTGACAACTTCATTAACAAAGCAAGCTTAACAGATGGCCAGACATTTTGTTTTGTGATATTTAACAACACATTCTTCTTGTGCCATTTTTCATTGATAATGGGATTCAGATTTGTTTGAACTCTATGAAACCTCATTCTTTAGTATCTTTCAGAACAGAACGTTTTCCTTTTATAAACTGCTGGTTGAGTTTTGCATGCTGCTATATCCTCACTTTAGGTGTAACTTCCTTTTCATTGTTTTCGTGAAATGGTAAACGTATGTTGAAATAATTATACCGTTACCATGATTTTTTTTTTATATTTACCAGATTTGCCAAAAGAAATCATAGTCAAATCTTTATTGTCTGTTTCTTTTTTGTCCCCAAACATTTACTATAATATTTATGAAGTTTAAAAATTTCATAAAGTAATTTTGTTTTATTTTAGTCATATTAGTCATTTTCAGAATCAACAATTGGCTGATGGTTTCCTTGGTTCCGTGTATCTAGGGCAACATTTTAAAGCATTGGGTAAAGGAAGAAAGAATGCCAAATTGGAGCTAGGTAAGCTGACAAAGACTGGGAAACCAAATACATGGCCAAGAAATGCAGAAGAAAGGTATGAGTCACTCTTCAACAAAACTGCACAAAATATATGGTATTATCTTACTTTATCTGAAGTTCTTGGGTGTTGTGTGAAATTCAGGTTCAATAGGATACTGATAACATTCTCCAAGAAATGGAACTTCATATCATAGCCATTCAAAGCCGAACAGTTACAATTCCAGCACCACTGCGAAGAATGTGTTGTTAAATATCACAAAACAAAATGTCTGGCCATCTGTTAAGCTTGCTTTGTTAATGAAGTTGTCAGGTGACCTCATTATGAATGCTTGACTGAACTACAAGCCTGATTAGGGCAAACAACCCTGTGATACCATTGCGACTTAACATCTTACCCATGTAGTTGTGCTTTGAAAAGCATCTGGTCCCCACCCAACACCTCCGCCAATCCATATTGTGTTTTGAATATTTCAGTCAGACTGCAATGTGGTGATTATATCAAGATATTGGCCAGAGCTCAGGACTACCATTTCAATTTTGCCAGAACATTTAACCATCAGTTTATTTTTTGTGCAAAGCAGCATCATCCAAAATTGCATGCAACAGCAGAGAAAGAATTAGCTAGTCAAAAAATGTGTTTTCACAATTTTCTGAAAGCTGGAATACCATCTCGTTTTTAAAAAAAATATTGAATTACAGAATCATACAACACAGAAGAAAGTCACTTGGCCCTTCATAACAACAAAACAGCTGTCTAATTAATCCCCATACCCTGAGTCTTTTCCCATATTTCTAAGTTAGAAATAAGAACAGTCATAAGCCTTTAGACCCTTGAGCATGCTATGCCATTTATTAAGAGTAGGTTGACCTTTTCCAAAGCAAATATGCATTTCACTTCCAATAGCTTCTCACATATTTATTGAGAACCTATTTCATATTTGTGCAGATGTAAGTATGAAATGGAAGATTAAGTCATCGTGTAGAGAATGAACAACTCAAACCCAGCTATGCAAATATAATATGTTTCAGGTACTGGTGCTCCTGGCTGATCCTTCTCTCCCATCACCTCTTCTCTCATGCATCCCAAATTTCCCACTCCCAAACTCTGATTGCTTCTGAGCCTGGTCTGTGCTTGCATTGTGCAATTAGTTGATATTAAACTTAAAAGGGCCAGATTCCAGCTGCTTTGCAGTGTGTTTTGTACAGAGAATATACATAGAAATTTGTTTTGCAATAGTCTAATGACAATTGGCAATCACTACTATGAACTCCCATTGGAAAAATTGTTCCATATTCGGATTGTCCTAAATCTGGTGTAAATTTTGCAAATAAAATTCATCTGTTTTTGATAAAATGTTCTGTTGTCAGTAATCCCCAGCTGTGTGATATACACAGTTGAAGTGGTTAAATATGCAAGGCCAGAAAACTTGTTATTCTTCGTGGTTTAATAAGCATTTGCAAATACTGATCAAGCACATGCAGTTCCACAAATTTCAGACGCAAGTTACCACTTACCCTGCATCATCAGACAGTGCATCTGTAGGACTGTATCTACAGGAACAAATATAAGAGCACACTAAACATTTACAATAAAGCATAAGGAAAATCAAAATGCATAAAATTGAAACTTTCAAAATTGCACATTGGAGATTTGTTTGTGTAACAGATCTTTAATGTTTTGGTTCAACGTGGGTCCAAGGAACCTCCAGTCTCCCTGGGACAGTAAGTAATAAGTTTCCAGTTCATTTGGTGCTAATGTTTAAGATATTACTCAGATAACAGGAATAACTTAATTATTGCAATATCTATTGCACAATATAAACACGGACACCCAAAATATTCCCTGTTGTCTCTCTCCTTCAGTAGTTCTCCTAATTGGCCTTTATAACTTTAGCAGGAAATCAGCAAATGCTCGTTAAAGTTTCTAAAGTTACAGTGACCAATTGGGAGAACCACAAGAAAACTCCCAGTGTTTTATGTTGAAATGTGAGCTTGTTGTTGCCTAACTGATCTATTCTAAAGGGTTCTGAGGAAGGGTCACCAAACTCGAAATGTTAACTCTGTTTTTTCCTTCACAGATGCTGCCAGACATGTTGAGCTTTTCCAGCAAATTTGTTTTTGTTCCTGATTTACAGCATCCGCAGTTCTTTCAGTTTTTATTCTGAAGCATTGCTACCTTTGCAGCTACGTTAAAAACCATTTTTTACGCTCTTCACTCATTCTTGGACCAAACAATTTGGAGATTGATGAGAATTGCAAATCATTGTCTACTCAATGGGTAGAAGCTGGTTTTAATTGTTGATTTTCTTGACAAATAAAAGCCAAAACCTATTGTAATGACAAAACATGAGTGAGCCAAAACTTTGAAACAGAATTCTATTTGGCAACAGGATCAACATATATGTATTTAATATAAGAATTTAAATGAGAAATTTATTTTTAATCCATTATAAGCCCAGCACCATAACCTGTGTGGGATGGTACAAAATTGACGAAGGAAATTGTTGAAGGGCTGACCAATCTTGGCGAATTTGAGTGGTCTCAAAGAGATACTGGTAGCAATCAAAATCAGAAAATCCTCCCTGTGTTACGCAGGAGAGGAACTAGATAAGACAAAGAGGAGAAAAAAGACTTTGGACTGGATTTTCCCATCTCCTGCATCAGGCAAGTTTTCAAAGTGGCACTGGTTATCAGTGGTAGATGGGAAAATGGATTTTGAAACACAAGCAAATCGCCCATTGCCTTATTAAATGGTGGAGCAGGCTTGAGGGGCCAAATGGATTATTTTTGCTCCCATTTTGTATGTATTTTAAAAAAGAATAATGACAGCGAGCTAGACTCTTAGAGCAGAATTAATTGAAAGAAACAAATATTTTGTATCTATCTTCATAGTAAGACATAGGAAGCGTCCCAAGACCAGTAGAAAACCATGGAGCAAAAGGGACAGTGGAATTTACAACAATAACAGTCACAAAACAAAAATAAATTGAGCATAGCTGAAAAACTACACATTTCGTTGAAGCATTTCATTTCGCAGTGATCAGGACAATTTGCAAGAATATTGAAGTAAAGGGAAAACAACACTTATACTGTACGGCAGGACAGTGTTGATTGGTTAGCAAGCACTTTTTGATTGGTAGAGATGTTGCCGTAGAGAGTGCACTATTTAATGATAACTAGCAGTTAACTTTCAAGATTTGTTTAAATTTTAAATCAAGCAGTTTTACTCTGATTGGTAAAATCACTGCATTGAGAAATGAACCAGAGAATGGCTGTCACCTATTTTTGGTGAGTAAAGAACAAGGCACAGTATGTAGATGGTAGGAACTGCCGATGCTGGAGAATCTGAGATAACAAGGTGTAGAGCTTGATGAACACAGGAGGCCAGGCAGCATCAGAGGAGCAGGAAAGCTAACGTTTTGGGTCTGGACCCTTCTTCAGAAGGGTCATTTCTGAAAAAGGGTCCAGACCCGAAACGTCAGCTTTCCTGCTCCTCTGATGCCACCTAGCCTGCTGTGTTCATCCAGCTCTACACCTTGTTATCACAGTATGTAGATACGTTCTTTCTGCCTGTAAAGATCAGGATCCCATGTCCATGCCAATGATGATGAGTAAATTCAACATTTAATTAGGATATTTAAACTACACTCTTTCAAACCCCTTTCATGGAATGTGGATGTCGCTAGCTAGGCCAGCATTTACTGCCATCCCTGACTGCCATTAAAGCTGGTGATGAGCTGTCTTCTTGAACTGCCGCAGTCTGTGTAGTGTAGCCACCACACATAGTAGTGTTAGGGTGTATGACCAGTGCAACTATGCTGAGTGAGTGAGGTGAAGCAATGAATATAAAGGTATGAGTCTCACAGAGAATGCTTGTAGGTGATTGATGGGGTTGTGGTGCATTGCACGTTTCAGGCTAATAGTTCAACTGCAAGGCTATTTAGATTTGAGTACTGTATAGGCAGTAAAGTTCACAAAGACTGCACTTACAATCTGTGCATCATTAATTAAAGTGTAAAACTGTTTATGTCAACTCCCCTATCATTGAAATTCCTCACTGTTTCACACAAATTATCAAAGTGAACGTTCTGCTGGACATGGACCTCACAGAATATGGTAACTACTGCCTTGTAAAAGGGGCGCGTGGTTTGCCTTCCCCCGAATATCCTGCTCTATGTGGACACAGTTGTATTTAAGGTATGCTCTATATTTCTGCAGGATCAGTGATTGAAACCTCCTGCTAGAAAGGCAGATCTGTCTTACAGTAAAAAAGCAGGTGCAGAGTGGTAATCTGACTATGATTGCTACTTCTCAGAAATTCCAGACCATTAAATTTGTTGTAAAGAATCAACAGTGACCGAGCAAAGAAATATAACACAAGAGAAAATGCAGAAAGTTTTTATTTAATATGGACAAGGACATTTCACTTCTAGTTTTTAAAATATTTGCCATGGAAACTTTGTGAATGACATTTGTAAGTATGACCTCATGCACAGAGAGCTAGTATGCGCATTATCTATTTCCTCTGCCGTGGTTGCAGGCACTCATGCCCAGAGACTCACAGCATGTAGATACCACTTCTTTGCCACTCACTAAATGACATACAGTGCTAGTATCTGAGCCATTGGCTGTGAGTAAGATCAAATGACAGTGTCTTGTCATCATCAGTGTATTGTTTCATAATGCTGTGCCACCACCCAGCAAGGTGGCAGTTCTTGGGAACCTATAATGTTAAGGGTTCAACGATAGGATTGTTATGGAAGTAAAGGAGAAAATAAAAGGTTCATGCTCAGATCATCTTATTTGTTTATTACCTACAAGAGATTATGGAATGAGAGAAAGGCTGTATGTGAGAAGGTGTATGTAGGTGTGAGCATTTTAACATCTTCTATGGTCTCAGCCCTACACAGTATCAGAGATGGCTACTCCAATTGTGGCAACCATTACCTCCTTCATAAGAATGAGGACACACAGCCATGCCTGTCACCTGTGAGTTAGCTGATAATGTCGCTGATTGTGCATCACACTGGCCTGCAAGAGTGGGGGCAATCAGTCAGTGAGTGTGGTGAAATGATTGACAATTTGGTCATCATGGTTGAATAGCTGGCAGTAGGTGCAAGCTGTGTGACGTGGGTGCAAGAACAGCACTATGTGCATGAGGGCGAGGTGAGGCAATGAATGTTCGGTATAAGATATACTTAGGAATGTTGGTAGATTTAAAATGGAGGCAGTAGGTGTATAAGGCTAGTGGTTCACTTATAAAGATGTGGCCTTTGAATTTGAGTTCATTGATATTGGCCTCTCATGTGATGCCCTTAAGCTTCTTGTGATATTGCTGCCATGTCCTCAGGGTAACGTTGTTCACTTCGACCTCTGTTTCTATCTGCTCCTTCTCACAATCATTGCTGAAATGTCCCTCTTAGTAGAGGGCTTCTCCCCGTCTGACAGTCTCCTGTACAAGGAACTTGAGGGTGACAGCAAAAAATCAAGCACTCTGTTCTTTGTTACACCATCTTCATTCTCCGTATGGGCCAGGCACTCTTCCACAATGACTTCCTCTACTGCTGCAGGACTGTGCAGTCCAATATTAAGTGGTACAAGCTTTGTACAAAGTTGGAGACTCTTGTTGAGTGAAGCAGCCACTCAACAGTACATTTGCTGCTGGGCTGTACACCACAGACATTTAATTTAACAGGCAGCACAAAGTTTGCATGTTACCAGCATTACTTTGAAATGGTGCAGATTAATTTCACATTGTCTCCTTCTATTGATTGCAGGAACCATCAAATTATTAACATTTAACAGCTGGAGGAAGGAGAGCTGGGTTACTCAGGACTAGGCATAAATTGACTACAACACTGCCGATACAGTCAGTATGTTCAATGTCTACTGAGCAGAATTATAATGGACTCGGGAATTCATATTCACAATATATTTCTCTCAGAGCAAAGCTTCAGATATCAGGATTGCAGACTCATGAGCACTTCATTTTCCCGCCAGCTACTTTAATGTACATGCCCAAGCTCTTTGGCAGGAACACAAAACATTAAAATTCATGTGCATTATGGGCTACCTAGGTACGTTTGCCTATAATTCATATCGACAGGTAATGATATTTGAACCATTTAAAAACACATTAGCTGCTCAAAATATCCAAGGAAGGAAGGCTTTTGTGCAAAATGGATTGTTCCAGTGTTCATTTATGGCTGGTGATTCATAATTGGTCAAATATCAGCTCAAACTAGCCCACACAAAGCATTCAGTCTCAGTCAATAGTTCTACCTGAGTTAGAACTTTTCTCTATTTCATTCCAAATTTCTACCTTCTCACATATTCTTTCAGAAAGTTATGTTGACGATCACTGTAGAAATCGGATGAACTGTTAGAAATCAGTGGTTTTACATAAAATAAACCATTTACAACATTGGGTCACATTAAATCAAAACTTGGTTGCTGTAAATTCAGCTAAAGTCCAATGTCAACCATTGACATGCCTATTGTCTCATTATTAAAGACCTGTGACATTATCTCCTGATTTCCCTTTGTTACTC